CAAAAAAAGTCCGAGCCCAGTCAACAAACAACATAAAATGATTTTACTGCACGATAATGTTCGCCGACATATCGCAAGATAAGCAAAAAATACGTTGTAATCACCTAAATCCGAAATTCTACTTTAAACTACATTGTGCATTATCAGATTATTGCTTGTTTCGGTCAATGTAAAGCGCTCTTCAAGACCAGCACTTCAGAAAGCTCCAAAATTGCTCCATGAAGAGGTCGCATCAGAAGACAATCCATTCTTTTTCATGAAATCTAAAAATCGCCAGAAAGATGGTCGAAAAACATACAACATAGATAGAAAATAATTCCATTGAAATAAGATTAATCAAGATTGAAGATATCAGAAAATTCAAAGCATGAAGTTATACACCCAAAAACTTGGTTCATTAGGCTAATTTTACTTATTTAAGTGCTTCATCACATAAAAATATGATTAATATTAGATTATTAAATTATGTATTACAAGAGTATCATTATTTACTCTATAAAAAGATAGTCATTTAATATAAGTATTATATTAAGACCTTTTAAGATTTTGTGGTGTATTAGTGCAGTTAATTAATTGCGCAAAATTCACTTATATTTATACCCGAACTTCGGTACACAAAGGTACGTATGGACTTCTATTAATTCGAATATGTATGCCCCGATTTGAGTATTAATGCGAAATATTTTAATCCATTTTATAAGCACTTTGCTAAAGTACAGTATCCGCGTGACGTACTCGTGAAGCCACTAAAATTTCATGCATCCAATTGCAGAATTTTAATGGTGCGAGTGAGTATTCTTGGGAGGAAATCTGCGCATCAAAATGCAAATGTGACAGACTAAATGAATCCGTTACTTAACTGTCTGTAATGCTAGGGAGCTACTTTGCATATCTCAAATGAAGTTTGCATTAAACTCAAAGAGTGGCTTGCGAGTGTGACTTCGGCTGGAGTAATTCAAAGATTTCCATCAGTTAAAGCGGATGCCACAAATTCACGTGACACATCTCAGAAATTAATGCGTGTCTTCTGCTGCATTTGTATGCAAACTGCTTATCCCAGCCGCACTAAAAGCCGTTGCATCCAAGGCGCATTAGGATGTTTGCATAACTGAGGTAGCAGATTATTTTATTCGGTTGCATTTACTGAAGTACTCAAATTTATGTGCGCTTACTAAATTTACTGTATTCTTACTAAATACATTCGTAAGAGATCAAATACATTACGTAGCAAATTAGTGAATAACATTTGAAGCTTATGCGCCTTATTTGGTAGTACAAGTATTGCACAATTCTGTATTCTCTATTCTGTATTCTGTACCTGAGCATTTGCAGGTTCAGACTTTTTCTATTTGCCGTTGGAACACTACTTGCAAGTGCTGTCATAAATATTGTCAGGTTTATTTATTAGCAAATATATTTATAACTCATCGAATAACTAGTTTCCAATTATTATTTTAAAATATACTCATATTAAGTAATGTGGTTTTCAATTTATAATCATTGAATCATTGACGTTGATTTACACAATGCTATTAAATTACATAAATTTTAAAATTAATAAAATACTGTGTATATTTTATACAAAACTTGTTTTCTTTGGATTTAGTACTCTTCACACTAACGCCTTTTTGGAATAAACTAAGTTTGTCAAAATATTTGTAACGTAGAACAAGAGGCATAGGAGATCGCATATATATGAACTCCACTGTATATTTTACTATTAACACCAACGACACAAATTATTTAAACTATATTTACATAATTGTTGATATACATTTATATATAGAGGATTTTTGTGTACTATATCTTATAAAGTTTATACATAAAAGCTATGTAAGCTTAACTGTGTCAACATCTGCATATCGCGAAGTGACTTCCATTGAATCTTAAATGACATATTTAGTTGAAATT